GGCGGCGGCGGGTCCTCGGCGCACTCGCAGGACGGCTCGCACCAGCCGGTGTTCATCTCCAAGGTGCACACCTCGGTGGACGGGCTGCAGGGCATCTACCCGCGCGTGGGCATGGCGCACCCCTACGAGTCGTGGTTCAAGCCCTCGCACCCGGGCCTGGGGGCCGCGGGCGACGTGGGCTCGGCCGGCGCCTCCAGCTGGTGGGACGTGGGCGCCGGCTGGATCGACGTGCAGAACCCGAACGGCGCGGCGGCGCTGCCCGGCTCGCTGCACCCGGCCGCCGGGGGGCTGCAGAGCTCGCTGCACTCTCCGCTCGGAGGCTACAACTCGGATTACTCGAGCCTCGGCCACTCGGCCTTCAGCAGCGGCGCCTCCTCGCACCTGCTCAGCCCCGCGGGGCAGCACCTCATGGACGGCTTCAAGCCCGTGCTGCCCGGCTCCTACCCGGACTCGGCCCCGTCGCCGCTGGCCGGCGCGGGCGGCGCCATGCTGAGCGCCGGGCCGTCGGCGCCGCTGGGGGGCTCCCCGCGCTCCTCCGCCCGCCGCTACTCGGGCCGGGCCACCTGCGACTGCCCCAACTGCCAGGAGGCGGAGCGGCTGGGCCCGGCGGGAGCGAGCCTGCGGCGCAAGGGCCTGCACAGCTGCCACATCCCGGGCTGCGGCAAGGTGTACGGCAAGACGTCGCACCTGAAGGCGCACCTGCGCTGGCACACGGGCGAGCGGCCCTTCGTGTGCAACTGGCTCTTCTGCGGCAAGCGCTTCACGCGCTCTGACGAGCTGCAGCGGCACCTGCGGACCCACACCGGCGAGAAGCGCTTCGCCTGCCCGGTCTGCAACAAGCGCTTCATGCGCAGCGACCACCTCAGCAAGCACGTGAAGACGCACAGCGGCGGCGGCGGCGGCTCGGCGGGCTCGGGCGGCGGCGGCAAGAAGGGCAGCGACACCGACAGCGAGCACAGCGCCGCGGGCAGCCCCGCCTGCCACTCCCCGGAGCTGCTGCCGGCCCCGGAGCCCGGCCACCGCAACGGCCTGGAGTGACGCGCCGCCTCCCACCTGGGCGCGCCGGCCTCCACTGCAGCCTCTCTCCCTGCACCCTGCTCGCTCTCTCGATCGTTCTTGTCTCTGTCTTTCTCTCCCCCTTGACTTAGCTCTGTAAAGGGGATGTGGACATGTAAGTAACACGCCTGGGTGTCCCAGGCCCTGGCTTCCCTTCACCACGGGGCACCCGCCCGAGCGCGGGTCAGCGCTTCCCCGCGCCAGCCTCAGGCTGGCATAACTTTTAGAGGGTAGCGGCCATTGGAGTTAGACCTGGACGAATCCAGTGCCTGGGAGACCAGGGACCTCCGAGTCGGCGGGAACGGCCCGGCTGCGCCAGCCTCAGCCTGTGCAGAGAGGCGGGTGGGGTGGGAAACCGGGCAGGGCGTCCCCGACGGTGCAGCCGCCTGGACGCCTGGGTTTTAGATCCGCAACCCTAGGCAACCTCGGCCCCGGAGCGCCCTGCTGGGCAGCCGCGCACTGCCGCACCCCGCGCTGGCAGTCGGAGCTCCGTGGGGTGCCGGTCTGGCCGCACCAAGACGGCGGAGAGTTTGCAGTTTAACTTTCCCAACGTCAGCTCTGCCTGCTTTTTCTTTGTTCCCTGAGGTGGGACCGTGCAAGTTTCAGCGAAGGGCGGTCTTGGCGAGCCGCTGCAGGAGCCTTTCATCTTTATAACATTTTTTTTAAAACTAAAAAACTAAGAGGAAAAAAAGCAGCTTTCCACTTAGTTTCCCTTCTAGGTTTTTTTTTCCTCTGCCAGTAAGCACGTCTTTCAAAACTGCTCAGATTGATCCCAAAGTTATTTTGATCGCAGTAACTTAACTTATGGGGTGGGGGCGGGGTGAGGGTAGGTGTCTTTTTCTTATGCAAAAATACCCCCTTTCCGGTGAAACCAGATTAATTATCTTCTTGTTTGTCCTTTTCTACCTCGGTTTTCACCACTCCCTGACATAATCTCCCAGTCTTTTCTTGTGGTCAATTTGTATAGTACCCTTTCCTAAATTCTTAAAATTCACTGAAGATTTTATGGTTAAACTTTTTTTTGTGATCGAAACTTAAAAACAAGTGAAGAAGCTATCGTTTATATCAAATGAGGCAGTAGTTTACATGCCAAAAGAGAGAAATTGGAAAAAAAAACACGAAAACTTTGTAAAATATATCTGAACCTAATGGTTTGTAAAACTGGAGAATCGTTCTAGATTAGTTATCAATTAAATATAACTCCACCGGTGTGAGGTGCAGTTGTCCAGGAGACGATTTTGTATAGTATTTTTCTTGTACATTACTTCCAGTAAATATTTGAAAATATATTGAAGTAAACTTGATTTTTTTTTTTTTGTCACAGAAAATATTAAGAGTTATTGTTGCGGTTCTGATGAGCTGCAGGTTTTTTGAACTCATTTCTGGAGGTGCAGAGCCAGAAACGCACTTTCGGGGCCTAGTTTTGCTCGAATATGAATTTAGATAGGTATCAAACTGTAACTAAGACAATATTTGATAAATGTTGGATGACATTTAATTTAATGGAGCATGTACTTATTTGCATTTGCTGGCAGTTCAGGCATAGTTAAAGTGAAGAGTTCTCCTATATTTCATAATAACTGGGTCTGCCAAAACCCATGTATTAAATAAATTGTCCAAGTGAAACTCGACTAACTTTGGCCTTTGTGTATTTCCTGAAGGTAATATTGTTAACTGTTAATAAACACTCCTGACACCACATTTAAATGTTTGCAGATTCTGCAAACTAATTGCTCATTGTAATGTTGAAATAATTTGGATATTTCACATTGAAATGAAAAGCCTTTCTCTGGAACATTTTAGACTTGCATTTTAAATGCATGAAATGTAATTGATTTATTTGTAATATTTTAAATGGTATTAATAAACTCAGATAAAAGACTAGGCCAGTTAATTTGTATTTTTTTTCCCCTTTTTAAACTATGGACATTTGCATTTAAATCTTCAGTTTAAATGTCTAATTTAAAGAGAAATGACCCTGTTTTTGTGATAATATTTAAATAACTGCCTTTAAGATATTACTTAGATGGAAAGATCTATTTGGCAAAGCTGTTTTCTCTATTTACCCAGATAAAGATTATAGTGTCTAAGAAATGTAATTAATTATTTACCGGTAGATTTAGCTCATAGCATCAGGATTTACTGACCTCTTAAAATTTGTCCTAAGTCACCAAACAATTCAAAGAAATTTCCCCATTCTGCTTCCATTGCAGCATGCAGGAGTCAGGTTGTTGGCTATTGATTACATTTAGTATTTAAAAGGCCAAGCCTTACATTGGAAGATCAATACATCTAAAATCAAAACATGGGTTTGGGGATAACTTTTCTTGTTAGGAGGTGGAGGAGGTCAAGCTAACAAAAGCTTGTTTCTGGCATTCGCTGTCCTAGCTAAAGATTATGTGGAGGTAAATATCAGTAGTAGATTCCTGTTGAAATGAGTTATCTGTTCTTTTAAAGTCTCTAAACAGCCACCAAAGAAAAGGAAGGTTAAACCTTAATCTATTTACTAGGCTATTGTTCAAAGGTGTCAATGATGCCAATAAAAAATATTGTCTTGTTATGTCTAAGTGCATTTAAGCAATGGGTGTTCCTTGAGCCATACTTTGAAACATAAAATACTTTAAATGTTGATTGATGTTATTTCAAACTATTTCACTATTAGATTAATATTATTTTGAATCAAACTGAATAAAAAGTTAGTGTGTTCAGATTCTGACAAGTTTAGCTTCTTTCTTTCTGTTTGCTTTTTTTCCATGCTGAGTTCAGTCTTGGTATTCTAAACTGAAAAATTTCCATTGAAATTTATGTGAAATCATTATAGTACATAGAAACAAAAGAAAATGCAGAGAACTGTATTATGAATTCTGGGGGAAAAAACAACTAAGGTTTTTGTTTAGATGTATTTTAGAATAAGATTGTGCCCAAGTAGCAGACAGCCTTAATCTTCCTGTCTGTGCAGATATTTGAGGCCTCCAGTCCTTATGGTTTTAGACAAACAAGTTAGCTTTGATTCTTTGGTATACTGTAGTGCTTAATAATGGTTATTAAAAGTAAAATGGTCTCTTTCTGTCACTTTCCTCCTAGGAATAACATGCAGAACACAGTTTAAGTGTTGTTTCTTTTTTATTGAAAGTTGCAGTGCAGAGGGATTCGCAGAGAACGGTTCTGAAGGAGTTAAATGTAGTGGCAGGTAAGAGCAAAGCTGCTTGGTACACTGAAAATATCAGCTGAACTACATGCAGAATCAACCTTGTTTTGAGCAGTGGGTTATCACAAGAAGAGATGTGTGAAGATTTATTTGGGGTGGTCAAAGGGGGACTAATTTTTTTTTTTTTGTCCTACAGATGTATAAACTTTCACTTTCTTTGGTTCTTCTTCTACCCCTGGCTTTGCTTGTTTGTTTTGATGGCTGTTGAGCAGTATTTTTAGATTAGTTTTCTGCAGAGTCCCCGTTTTTTTGGGGATGAGCATCCTCTTTGGGTCAGCAGAGGACAAGTGCAAAACTGATTTTTTTTTTGGTCCTGCTTTGTCTGATAAAGCACTCACCAATGGCTGGAAGCTCATTTGGATGACCCAGAGTCTGGGTCTCACTTTGATCCAAAGGACAAGCTCCTAGTCTCGCAGATCAAGGTAGAGTCAAACTAGTTGTTGACCCAGAGGTCAGGCCAGCATACATAAGCCCATCCTCCAGAGACTGGAAAAAGGCTGCCTGGCACAATCCAATCTTTTTATTTCCTCCCTCCTCTCTTGTCCAAAGTTGAGTGTTTCTCCTTGCCCTCCTTCTTTTGTTTTGTTTTGTTTTGTTTTTTCCTGGCTCCTTCTTGACCTCTCTTTTGGGAAACTTGCACACTTAGGAACATATATGGTAAAATTGAACCACGACTAAAATATTTTTTGCTAGAGATTTAATTTAAACAAATGTCCTTTACTCTCCTGATACTGAAAAAAGATCCTGGGTGGGTTTGCTTCTGTTCCACTCTCCTCTTACCCTAGTGTTGGCATAATTTCTCATCTGAGCTTCCCTTGGGTAGAGGATGCTAAAATTAAAGACAAGTGATGAGACTGGACTCCTGAGTGGGCAGATCGATAGTTCTACCATCAACATTTTCATCTCCCCGTGGATCTTCCGGTGAGATTACTGAATGGAATGTTATGGAAGGCCTGTGAAGGAATTTATTTAAAATAAATATTGTATTTATTATAGAGGATTAGCTTAAAGGTCAGATGATCTTTTGGGCTGGTAAATGAAGGCAAAAACCTACAGGGAAGCAGTATAGATTTGATTATTCTCAGGTGCCTAACATACATATATAATACCATATACATGTAGAGGTAAACATAGTAAAAGAATGCCTACGTTTTATTTGATTTTTCAAATAGCCTTGAAGAAGTATTGATTTGATTCAGTTATTTTGAATAAACTGGTTTTAAATTTTCCTACTGATTTTTGCTGCTTCTGTCCAGTTATCATTTTTTACTAAAATAACCACAGGCATTACCTGTGTGTGTTCTCTCATTTCCCCCTCCCTCCTCCCCTCTTTCCTTTCCTTCCTTCCTTCCTTCCTTCCTTCCTTCCTTCCTTCCTTCCTTCCACGATCCAACCAAGTAATTCCATCCCTCTACTTCAAGAAATGCTGTTCTGGAAGGAATCAAAAGAGAGTAATGTACTCATTTAAAGTTAAGGTTTTCCCTATCAGTGGCATTTTATTTTGAAGACTTTGCTCAGTCTTGTTGCTGTTATTTTTTAAAAAAGATGTAGAACTCGTTTGCGCCCTTTTTTTTTCCCGCTTCCGGATTAAAGGAAAGCCGGTAATTCCTGGCCGCCCGGCCCGGCCGCCGCGGTGTCAGGGACGCGCGCCAGCGGCCCCCTCTGCGCGTCCGCCGCGTCCGAGCCCCGGAAGGTTTGCGCCACCAGGGGGAGGGGCTCTATTTTCCCGGTCCCTGGGCGCGCGTTTAATTTAATTTAGTTTTCGGTGGAGTCGCGGAAGCAGCCTCCTCCGTCCGTCCGTCCTGGGGTCCTGAGGCCGGTCGGGTCTCCGAGAGCACCAGGCACGGCGAGGGCTGT